CTGTTCCCATGAACAGCAGATCCTCACACAGATCTGGGTGAAGCTATAAAGGACAGGATTTGCCTGGGACTGCATTACAGGAAGTTTTATCAAGGACATTCTCTACAATTCTGCTGCATCTTAAGTATTTCTGTTCAACAAAGACATCCAGTTTTTCAAAGGAGCTTCCTTGTAGGATAATCAGAATATCTCCACAGGCGCCCTTTACACCATCACGCATAAAGCTGAACTGAGGAGAAGGAAGGGAAATCCTTAAATTGCATCAGAAGACACCCACTTATAGCACCCCCACTTATAGATGACATTCAGATTGGATTTAGAAGCATGATACCAACAAAGCCCTTTGTAGGCATCCAAAAAGCATTTCAGGACATAAGCAAAACTGGACAAGTTGAAATCTGTCTGCCTTGGGACACAAGTGGTATTGCTCATTTACCTCCCATTTATTTTAGGAACACAACAATAATTTCCTTTGTGTAATTATTGACAGAAGTTTTATCTTTCCTACTTTTTGTGGCAGATTACAGGAAGTGTTGCAATGACCTGTACCATGGGCATACTCGGACAAGGCCAACACCCCTTGTTAAATGTTGTCCCTAAGAGCTCAGGCGTGGATTTGGGCTGTTTCCACAGTTACAACAGGAAGGGCTGAGCCTTTCATTATATTATTAGAATGAAAATGTTTGTTTTTCATTTCCACCCTATTTTCTACCTCTGTTAAAACAAAGTTTGTCTCCCCCAAATATCTCTAATAACAACAGAATGGTGCCTGGGGAGAGAGTGCTATGGTATTTTTAGCACGATTAATGCTTTAGGATTACAGCATCCGAGAGCGTGCTGCACAGTCCATGGTACATATACGCTAGTGGGGGTCTCTTCTCCACCACAGTAAAGGACTCAGCTACAAAAAGGAAAAGTGATTACAATCCTGGCTGAGGGCTCATGACTGGGTTCAATTCCTGGTTCTTCCCTAAACCTGTGTCAATTTGAGCAAGTCATTGCACTATCCTGTGTCTCGATTTCTCCTCTTTAAGAAACCCAGAGAGGGTGTTGGGAGGGTATTTCATGTGCTCCTGGAGTGTGGAGATGAGGATGGTGAAGGCAGAAGGAGGCAGAGGGAGGATGGGCAGCTGTAACACTAACCGGAAGACAGAGGTACCCAGCAAAAGCTAGGGCACAGGAGGCCAGAGGAGAAAGTCTTTGCCAACTCCTCTCTTCTCAGCAAAGCTTAAATGGGATCTGAGGGTGATGGCCTGGTGTATTAGCTTAGGGAAAGGTGTTCTTTGCACAGCAGCAGCATTGCTCAAAGCACAGATGCTGCCGTGAGATGGAAGGAACGCCAGCAGGGTTCATCCAGGACAGGTCAGGGAAGCAGGGAGGAACAAGAGAATCTCTTTGTTACTTCCACTGAAATAAATCTGATAGGAATCAAGTGGAAAGGATCCCTTATTTCACTGCCTCTCTCATTTATCTGTTCTGCCTATTTGGCCCTGATCCTCCAAGCCTGACTTATC